AGACAGCCTGAGCAGGGGAGGGTCAGAGACAGAGGGAGTCACAGACTGAAACAGGCTCCAGGCTCTGAGCTGGCAGTCAGCACAGAGCCTGATGCGGGGCCCAAACCCACGAACCGTGAAATCATGACCTAAGCGAAAGTCGGACGCTTAACCAACTAAGCCACCCAGGCACCCCTCTTGGTTTTTTTTTTTTAACGTGTGTTTACAACACCCTAAGGAATATCCAATTTCTCTCAGCAAACATACTCCTCTTGAATATAAATAATTCTTTTTTTAAGTTTATTTATTTTGAGAGAGTGTATGTTGTGTGTGCACAAATGGGAGAGGGGAGAGAGACAAAAAGAGAGAGAGAGACAGAGAGAAAGAATCTCAGGCAGGCTCCATACTGCCAAGACAGAGAACAAGATGGGGCTCGATCTTATCCATGAACTGTAAGATCATGACCTGAGCCAAAGTCGGATGCTTAACTAACTAAGCCGCCCAGGTGCCTCTAAATAATTCTTTTTAATAAATACTTCTGTTACCCAGCTCCCTATTCTTTCCTGACATTTGGAAAACCAGCCATTCAGCCAACCAGCCTATCAACTTACAGGAGCATATCCATCTCAACAGGGAGGTCCAGGGCCTTCCCACCTAACTCAGAACCAAGTATTCCAAGAAGATCATGGTGGAATGGGCAGTTTTGACTCTGCCCACAGCAAATCAACTGAGGACGCTGCCTTTTATACACTTGACCCCTGACAAATTAGCACAAGAAACAGCTCAGTCTACCTTTAGGTCGGTGTCTCGGGCTCTCAGGTTCATTTCTTCTGCTGCGCTCTGACCCTCCATCCCGCTCAGATCTGCTGCTGTGTCTGCTTCTGTCCCGCTCATCTGTTAAGAGCCACGTGAAGAGCTTAGAAAATATGTGTCCCATCCTAACTTCCACCCGTCTTCACCCTAGAGAAAGGACAGGCCTTCCCACTCACTCACAGGTGCAACCTGCACTGTTCTAATGCGATCCATGGGCTCCTGAAACTCACATATCCCCATTCTTTCAAGGGAAAAATTAGTTACTGGCTACAAAGTTTCAAACTCACAGTAACAGTTATTTTCCTGCAAGAATTCAAAAAACAATAGTTATAAGTCTACAGTGAATAGCTACTAATAGTTAGTAGTCTATAAGCTACAAAACTTAAACGATACTGAGCAAAGCCAGCACTGGATTTTATGTCTAGCTTTGCTCAACAGCACTGCCCTTTCTCTATCACTGACACTACTGTAAATTCTGGTTTCTTATACACCCTGCCTGTTAACACCTTTATCACCAATTTTCATAATTAATCAAGAACCACGCATTCAGGCAAAGCAGCAATGCTGCAAATGACAGTTCTTAAATTATCCCCAACCCCAACCCCATCAACACCAGCAGGGCTCCCTAATTATTGGGCATTGGAAAAACTCCTGCAACAGGAAAGAGGCTGACATGTTCAAACGCTTATTGGGCCATAGGAACTATGCTGGGCCGGTTACCTCTGTCTCTCTTCCGGTCAGAGTCTCGATCCCGTGATCTCTCTTTCTTCCGATCCTTTTCTTCTTTGGACGAGGCATAGACACCATGTTCCCGCCGCTCCCGCTCTCTCTGCCGACTGCGTTCCCAAAACTCTTCACTCACACCACCAGGATGGGATGGAGTCTCTACCCGAGCAGATCGATAATGCCTGAAACAAGGAGGGTAACTGGTAAAAGGCCCTTCCAGAGGAGAAAGACCTTGCCGCCAAAACGGGGCTGCTGGGTGACATGTCCTTTTCCAACTAATCTCCCTGCAGGCTTACTTATCACAACAACCAGGCATTTCTAACCTCCATGCTCTACTCTTTAGTCACCTCTGAATGCTCCCCATGCATCTGAAGAAAATACCACTTCCTATCTACTTCAATATTACAAAATCAAATAAAATCATAAAAGTCTGTATGTCCAACAAGAAAACAGAAATAAACAAGGGATGTTATTCCCTGGCCTCCATTCTCATTCCCTTTTGGTCAACCCATCCATAAGGCTTTACCTGTCTTTTCGGCTGTGTCGGCCAGCTTGGTCGCCATCCTCCTCCTCAGCATCTCTCTGGTCATCCTTGCTCTCTTCCCAGTCCTTGTAGGAAGAGATTCTGGACTTCTTCTTGTCCTCCCCATCGTCCTTCTCCTCTCGCTCCCTTCGTTTCAGGGAAGCCAACAAGTCCAGTCCCAGCAAGGAAGGGCGGGGGGCAGGGGCCTTGAAGACATGCTGCTCACTGGCCGCACTTTTGGTCTTGCAAATAAGACCGCCAACCTGAGAGTCCAGATCAGTGCCTTCCAATCGATGGATCGAGGCATCCTCGCTGGTGTCCTCCATGACAGGCTCTGGGACTTCTGTGGAAGGAAGACAACCCGTTTTGTATTGGATACACAAGGAGGAAAGGTGCAGCTCTGCCACATCCCAGGATAACTGTACTTATAGGGATATTCAGGGAGTTAACCTCCCCACCAAGACCAGGATTTGCTTACCTACCTCTTGCCAAGATCTTTCCATTATGTCAATGACAATCTCAAAAGATCCTCCTACTCCCACCCCAATACACATCAGAAACAGAGACCCACATTCACGCACCCACCAAACACTGGGATCCAAGAGGGTACCAGCCAGGCAGTACCTATACTAAGGACACTTAACTAGAACATGATGGCATCTAGAAAGCGACTGTAGGGGAAATACCACTAGATTTGAAGTCAGAATCCTCAATTAGAGTACAAGCTTTTGACATGTTCTCCTTGTACTAGAAGCAGTTAACTTAATATTTGGTCAGGCTTAATTTCTATATCTGTGAAACAGAAATACTTTTTGCTTTACTTAGTCCGTGGAGTTACTATGAGAAATAAAGTGTACGTGAAAGCTCTCTGTAACCATAAGGCTGTACGTAAAAGTAACTGTTACGTTATTCTATTTGCTATGCTACTCTATACTAATTGAGGCTCAACATTTTCTAAATGAGTTATTCTACCTCTCCGGCCCTTTAAACTACAGATCCAGCAAAGTAGGCATGCTGAGGTATAAGGCTACCATATACTACGTGATCCATACACTAGGGAGTTTTTTGGACCACATGTGTTTTGTAGAAAAGAATTACCTCACAGCAGTTGGAATCTGTTTAATAACAATCCGTGTTCACCAAAAATACTGATGAGAAACACAAGGTTATGAAATGGTGTTCCCAAAAAGTATTAAGGTGATTATAAGATTTTCTGACACTCAACAAATTCCTCTTTACTTCCCATACACACCATCCACTTATAAACATACACTGATTCTAGGTGCTTGGATAATTTTCCTCTTTCAACAAGTCAGTGAAGCAAAGGAACTGTCAAGGTGTAGGGTACCACCAGAATCCAGGATGTTTTGCCCAGTTCTAATTAACATGAACAGCTCTATAGAGAAATTTTGTCAAATATAATATCAACACAGACACAAGAGTTGCATTTTGAAAAATGCCATCAGACATGGAGGAGGGCACTTGTTGGGATGAGCACTGGGTGTTACATGGAAACTAACTTGACAATACACTATATTAAAAAGAAAGAGAAAGAAGGAAGGAAGGAAGGAAGGAAGGAAGGAAAGAAAGAAAGAAAGGGAAAAGAAAAGGAAGAAAGGAAGGAAGGAAGGAAATGCCATTAGGCATAGGAGAAAAGACGGAGTTGCATATTGGTGACATCTGTGTGCATATGAAGAAATCTAAACAGTAAGATAAGCATATATATGCTATGCGCAACAGCAGTATGAACTAAAAATTATACCCCTAGGATGCTGAAGAGAACCTTACTACAGCCAGTGCCTAGTGAAATAAATGGTGAATAAATGGATGAATGAACTTAAACTGATTAATGGAAAACAGGAAACGAAACACATCTAGAGACAGCAAAGGAAGATCCCAACAGCACAAGACAAGGAGTCTCACAAGACATAACTAGCTGCTGAGAACAAATAAGGAGTTAAGGGGCTGGGTTGTGGAGAATGATTAATGGCAAAGAAGCCAAGTAGGAATGGAAAAACAATTTAGAAAAACTAGATTTACTCATTAAACAATTTTTCATTGAATACCTTCTGTGAGCCAATCACTGTTCTAGGCAATAGGAATAGAAGAAGAAGAAAACAGACAAGAAATCCCGCCCTCTTGGAGTCCACATTCTAGTAGAGGAGATCGCCTACTAAAGATACCACTATGACACAGAAGAGAAAAACACAAGGAGCCCTACTTAGGCTCGGCCTTTGCCCCGGAGGGGGCCAATGCAGAGGCCTAAAGAAGGGTACAGGGTAACCCCTGGGCAGCATCCCTGGACCACAGGCCCCGCCAGGCAGCAGGATCTGATCAGATCAAGGAGAAAGGACGGGACAGGCCGGACCGGCGCAGGATCCCGAGGGTGAGAAAGGCAAGCTAGGTGACAGGAACGAGACTTTGCAAACCCGGACCGGAACCTGAGCGAAGAACCCGTATCTGCCGCTTGGAGCTGCCATAATTGGCGAAGGGCAGGTCAGGAAGAAAGAAGGGACACTCACCTCACCAAACCCGACTCTTGGGATCTCGTGTCCCAGATTCTGAGGCGCCGGCACCGCCGCCCCTCACTCAAACCGCCTTAGACGTCCAACCCCAAACCTTGAGCGCAGCCATTATTGTCCCATAATAACCTGCGAGATCCCCTCTATCCCTCCAAAGATAACCATCGAGAGCAGCCCGGAAACCGTCAATTCCTGGCGCCAAGTGTGCGATAGAAAGCAACCAACGCTAGAGTATCCTCCTCTGGGGCCCTGATCAGAGACATTTCCGAGTCTCATCGCGACCAATCATAGTCTGAGAGGCGAGGCTCCGCCTCGGCTCCGAGAGGAAAGGGCAGAAGGTCGGGCATGTTTAATAAGGGCGGAAGTGACGTTGCTCCCTGTCAAAGCCAGGGAAAGTGGGCGGTGACTAGAATAACGAATAATCTCATCGATTTGTTGGACCCCTGAGGGGAAGGACTGCAAGTATTTCTACTGGCCAGTGAGTTTTCTTCTTCCGGTTCCGTTTTTTTTTAAGTGGTCCGCCGAGAGTTGGAAGGCAACTCTTTGAGCTAGGGTCACTGCTGGCGGAAAAGAAGGGAACTGCCAGTGTACCGACCTTTTGGAGAAGTGGTCGGGGTTGCGGACACTCTTCAAGTGGAAGAGAAGATAACTTGGACAAATAAAGTAAGTATTTTTTATTGTAGCGGTTGTGGGTCAGGAGTAGCCCAACCACAGGCATCGTTAAGCATATGTATATTAAGTATGCATGTATATCGAATAGTTTGGAAGAAGGACTCTCACTCCGATGTAAATAAAAATCACCTGTCCACTGGTAGAGAACCACTGACGGGGTTTTGGGATATTTATTTCCAGTTATATTCCTATGTAAATGTATACGTTTATATTAGGTTTTGTACAGCAGTGGGATCCCACTGTATATGTTGTTTTGTAACTTTTTTATCATGACAACTTTTCAGTATGTGAAATGTTCATAGGTAACAGTACTTGGCAGCTGTGTAATACTGTGTTGCAGGACAGTACTATCATTCATTTTTTCCAATCCCTTATTTTGGGCCATTTAGGTTGTTTCCAGTTTTTCACCTTAAAAATGTGATAAATCAGGGGCGCCTGGGTGGCTTAGTCGGTTTAGTGTCCGACTTTCGCTTAGGTCATGATCTCGCGGTTCGTGGGTTCGAGCCCCGCGTCGGGCTCTGTGCTGACTGCCAGCTCAGAGCCTGGAGCCTGTTTCAGAGTCTGTCACTCCCTCTCTCTCTGACCCTCTCCTGCTCACGCTGTCTTTCTCTCTCCTAGAAATAAATTTAAAAAAACATTTAAAAAAATTTTTTTTTAAAATGTGATAAATCATTGTGGACTTGAGTTAATTCTCAGAAATGGAGTTGTTGCTCACATTGTTTTCTTTCTGGAAGAGTTTTTGCTTCTCTGCATTCCAGCAGGGAGTAAGAATGTGTGGCCCTTTATTCACACTCTTGCAAGTTTGTTTCATCTTTACCCACTTAATGGCTTTGTTAAATAATCTTTCATTTGCTTTTCTTTGTTTACTAGTAAAGGTTAACTTTTCAAATATTTTTGCCCATTTGTACCTCTTCTTTTGTGAAGTCTCTGTTAGTATCCCTTGCTATAATCATCTTCTTAGGTGTAGCATTAGTTTTACTCCTCTTTATCGGCACTGGAGTTGCTCTTTGAATTCTAGTGTGGAATTGATCCATCCTCTCTTTGAGTTTCCCTTTATCAGTAATTTGTTCTGCTACTGACATTTAATGAAGTCCTTCCTAACAATCAGCTTGCCTTTTAAAGTATGGTTCATTATAGGAACAATTTCATTTCCTATATACATTTTTATTAATTCCTAATATTAAAATGTGACACCTCTCTCTCTCTCTGTCTCTCTCTCACTCTCTCACACACATGCGCGCGCACACACACACACACACACACACACACACAGAAATCCTCCCTTTTCCTAGCATTAGCCAACTTGGGGGCCAAATTTAAAATATCAAGTATCTCAGTGGAGTTTTCTTCTGGACGGACTCAAAAATAGAGTATCTTAACCATAAAAATAGGAGCTTATTATAGCAGAAGGAACCTACACTGGAAATTTGGTGGCTTGGGGACACCTGGGTGGCTCAGGCAGTTGAGCATCCATATCTCTTGATTTCAGCTCAGGTCATGATCCCAGGATCATGCAATCCAGCCCACGTTGGGCTCTGTGCTGAGTGTGGAGCTTGCTTAAAATTCTGTCTCCCCACTTGCACGTGCTTTCTCTCCCTCTAAAATAAAATTTAAAAATTTTAGAAGAAAAGAAATGGTGGCTTGGATTCTAGTCCTTGCTGTAGCTAGAACCAAAACTATAAGCCAACAAGTCTATAAAAGGAGGGAATTGGATTAGTTCCCTTTTATCTGAGTATTTTATGATTTGTTTATTTTGTGTGTGTGGTTTTCACACAACCTCTTAATCATCTGTTTGCCATATGATGGGGTGCACCTAATAAGATATGCACCAAGAATCTTTAAGCCAAGACTCATGATAATGCTTCATCAATAAAAGACTGTTTTAGAAGTGTGGTACCTGTGTGAAATAATATGTCTCTGTGATAACGTGTGTAGAGATATGGGAAGGTCTGTGCATTCTAGGTAAAAAAAAAAAAAAAAAAAAAAGTGCAAAGTGCAAAAGAGTGGGTAAAGTATATGCATTGGACATCTGTCATTTGCCTCTCCAGATCCACCTTTGTCCTTCTCTAGAATGCTCCGGGACCACGAGAATTGGCTGCCTTCTGCATCTCCCCTGCCCTCTGGTTCCAGTGGGAGTCAGCCAGTGGATGCATTAGGAGGGGATCAGATGGGGGGAGAAGAGCGGCTGCATCCCTTAACTGCAGGCTGACCTCCTATACAACAGCCTTCTCCACCCCACGTGCCCCACCACACACTTCTAACTACTCCCTCCTGTAGCTCTTTCGGGCCTAGGCGTGGGAACAGCACGCTGCTCCTACCAGCCCGAGTACAGCCCTGTACCCTGCCTTAATGAAAATCTCTTGAAATTACCAAATTTGAGAATGTCATCTTTCTTCTGCTGGAACACTGGCCAATAGAATAGGCTATCTTTGGGGTAAAAGAGGGAAAAAACATAGGAATGCATAACAAAGCTGGAAGATACAAGAGAAGCTAATGAAAGTAGCTACCTGCTGTGTGGGGAGGAACAGGCCAGTACGAACAGGGCCAGTGGAGGACAGACAGACGGAGCGAGATTTTTCACAATATACCTTTTTACATTTGTGTTTCTTTTTAAGCTGGTGGACTTGCCACCAGTTTGTGCATTTAGTGTGTTTCTTTTACTGTTTTGATACTGTGTTGTATGAAACTATTTCTTTCCTCTGAGAATAAAATATATGTGTATTACCTGCTCCAGAATTATTATTATTTTTTTTTAAATTAGGACCCATGCACTTAATCTGTCTTTAAATATTGCAGCTGTATTTCAGGACTGACAGTGAGGATAAAATATTTGGATTATGTCAAGATGAGCTTCCTATTGCCCAAGCTAACTAGCAAAAAAGAAGTAGACCACGCAATAAAAAGCACTGCAGAGAAGGTGTTGGTTCTCAGGTTTGGGAGAGACGAGGATCCTGTCTGTCTGCAGCTAGATGATATTGTAAGTGAATTTTTAAAATAAATCATTTTCATTGAAAATCTATATGTTCTCACTTCAACATCTACAAAGTGCATGAAAGGCAGTGGCCGGGCCCGGAAATACTGCTGCACGCTTTCACTAGGAGCTGGTCATGTGCCTGCCCTGAGCTAAGCCTCCAGACCCGTGATCATGCTGGATCTGTCCTAGACGTCCCTCCCCACCAGCAGCCATCCAACTTCAGTTTCACCAACAAGGCAGTGGAGGACCAGAAACACGTAGTGCTCACAACAGTGGAATAATTACCATCACTATTACTACTCCCACACAGAGAGATGAATGCCAGGGAGGCCAAGTGACTTCCCACAGGACAGACCAACTTGCAGAGCTGGGGTTCGAACTTCGTTTTCTCTGCCTGCAGATAGGCCTTTCTAGTGTGTTGCCTCCAGTGTGTGCCTGATGGTAATCTCTGATTTCATAACACATCTTCATACTCTGATGAGTAGGGAGGGGAGAATAGGACAAAATGTGTTTATTCTTGTCTCTGTCTGTTATAGAGAGAGACTTACCCCGGAACTAACACCTCTTCCCACCATTTCTATTGCTGCCACCCACAGTGTGGATCCAGTATAAGAATCTGTTTCTGTGATTAAAAATGAATGTGTGATGCGTTAATCTGAGGGAGAAAAGGGCCAGAGGATTATACTCTCAGCCATAGAGGAAAGGGAATATCAGAGGCCAAGAGTATAGACTGAAACCAAGCTGTCCAAGTCCAAATCCCAGCTGTACTGCTTACAGCTGTGTGACCAGGGGCACATTACCCAGTTTTCTGATCTAAGAAATGGGGACAATAATAATCTCATAGGAGTGTTGTAAGGATCAAATGAGTTAATAAGTATAACGCACTTTGGACATTTAGCGCATAATAACCGCCACACTTGTATTCACTGTTTTTATTATGATTATCATTTACAGGGGAACTGGAAAGAAGGAGATTTGGGGGAATTTCAGTGTCTGGCGTACATATTTATGAGCTGTTTTTCTTTATGCGAACATGGATTTCATAAACCTATAAAAAGCTTATAAAAGCTTTTTACAACCAAAAATCTATTTTTTTAAAAAAAAAGAGAAATGTATTCACACGGTTTACCCAGGACCCTGTCTGAACGATAAGGTTACATTGTGTCTAATGTGGAACTCGGGAGATTCTTACCCCAGGAACTTTTTTCAAACAATATCGCAGTAAAAAGTTTCACAGAAGAAACCTTAGCTGCCCCTCCCATTGTAACCTACGTGCCTCTCTCTGTTCGCAGCTTTCTAAGACCTCTTCTGACCTGAGTAAAATGTCTGCTATATATCTGGTCGACGTGGACCGAACTCCAGTTTACACGCACTATTTTGACATCAGTTATATTCCATCTACTGTGTTTTTCTTCAATGGGCAGCACATGAAAGTGGATTATGGGTAAGTTAGATTGACCTGAAGTCATTGCAGCCGTGAGAGGTTCTTTCACCCAAGTGGTTCCAGTAACTCACCTGCCTGTGAGGGTGGCTCTGTGAGCCCTGTGTTGGTGCTGCATCCCCAGCTGACCCACTCCTTGGTCATGTGAAACTTCGGCGCAAAAACGGGAGCATTTCCAGTATGATTGGCAAATTTTACTATCCTACTTAAGTAGGAAAGAATTATACGGTTTGTGCAGCACTAACTACCCTTCGGTGTGAAAAATATTAGAACAGCTTTTTAAAAAGTTTCCTAGGAATTTCATTTAAAACAAAATATGTCATTGTTCTTAAACTTGTGGGACTGGTAGGCTGCATTTATAAAAGAAGTGTTCCTTCTGGAAAACTGAGACATGTTTCTCTCTGGCCAAGTGTCCTGTCTTCTGCCACTCAGAGAACACTGATGTCACTCTCCAAACAATTCTGTCAAGAATATGTACCGTGAGGGGCGCCTGGGTGGCTTAGTCGGTTAAGCGTCCGACTTTCGCTTAGGTCATGATCTCGCGGTTCGTGGGTTTGAGCCTCGCGTCGGGCTCTGTGCTGACTGCCAGCTCAAATCCTGGAGCCTATTTCAGAGTCTCTATCTCCCTCTCTCTCTGACCCTCCCCTGCTCATGCTGTCTCTCTCTATCCTAGAAATAAATAAAAATCTTTAAAAAAAAAAAAAAGAAAAAGAATATGTACCGTGAAATCTTTAACACCTTCCACTGTATCCAGTCAGCATCCCAGTACTCAACATGTGTTTTCAGTGTGTCCATAATTCTTATCATTTCTCACTGTGGTTGAGGTGTCTGCTTGTCTAGATCTGTGTATCTGTTTTGTCATTATCTACTTGAAAGTGCATTAAACATTACCTGTTTTAAGTATTTTAAAGCTATTTATTCTCCTAGGATACAGGTGATGTAATAATTTGGTGCAATCTTTTTTTTTCTTTAAGAGAGAGAGCGTGCTTGAGGTAGGGAGAGGCAGAGGGAAAGAGAGAATAAGAGAGAATCTTAAGCAGGCTCCATGCCCAATGTGGAGCCCTTCACAGCAGTCACAACCATAAGATCAAGACCTAGCTGAAATCAAGAGTCAGACTTTTAACCAACTGAGCCACCGAGGTTCCCCTGTGCAATCTTTTTTGTTTTGTTTTGTTTTTTAGTTTATTTATTTTGATAGAGAGCGCCCATGCGTGTGCAAGTGGCCGGGGGTGGGGGTGGGGGACAGAGACAGAGGAGAGAGAGAGAATCCCAAGCTGGCTCTGCACCATCAGCACAGAGCCCAACATGGGGCTCAGTCTCCTGAACCGTGAGATCATGACCAGAGCTGAAATCAAGAGTCAGACAGTTAAACCACTGAGCCATGTGGGCAATCTTTTTAAAAGGTGATTTATGACACTATTGGCCAACTTTAATATGTAAAAATGTTAACCTAGCAATTGCATTTCTAGGAATTTATCTAAAGGAAAATAATCTTGAAAGTGGGCAAAATTGGCTGCATGAATATTCATCCTACCATTATTTAGGAAGCAAAATACTTGGAAAGAACCTGGATGTCCCCAGAGGGATACTAGATGTCAATTTCATATGATGTTGTAGATACAGGTTTAATGACTTTGAAAGAAGTAGGTTTTATGTTATTTGGAACATTACAAAATAGTTTGCATGATATAACTACCATGATTTTTGAAAACAGAAATGCACATGTGTGCACACACACACACACACACATACACTCGAAGAATATGTACCAAAATGTGGCCTTTGGCCTCACTGGTAATGTTTTTTTCCAGCAGTAAACATAACTGATGCTTGAAATAGGAGGGAAAAAAATGATTTCATACTCCCTACTCAAATGTATAAATGAGGGGAACTCACAGACAGTGACCAGTTAACGGGCTCTGCACAGTGTAGCCAACAGCAGCAGTAACAAACTACGCCCACGCCAATGCCCAGGGCATTGTACTTGATAAGGAGCTGCGAAGAGATTAAAGTAGATTTTTGAAGTGGAGGCTCTTCACATGGTAGCACTTGCGTGCCCTCCCAGTGGCTCACAGCTCTGCTTTTAGTCCTGTATCAGATAGGCCCTGTAATCACAAACGGAGAGATCAGATGTCGGACTTATGTCTGAAATCTCCATGATGAGCAGAAAGAATCAGAACTGTGCTTCATTTTGTTTATCCTGAAGGCCTGCAGTGAGAAATTGCTAAAAGTTCTGAGCGGTTGTTTTTCTCCCGTGCTCTCTAGGTCTCCCGATCACACTAAGTTTGTGGGAAGTTTCAAAACCAAGCAAGACTTCATAGATTTGGTTGAAGTAATTTATCGAGGAGCAATGAGGGGAAAGCTTATTGTCCAAAGTCCTATTGATCCCAAGAATATTCCCAAATATGACCTTCTCTATCAAGACATTTAGCGCCTTCAGTACTGTCAAAGTTGAAGAAAAAAAGCACATCTTGAAACAGTACCTGAGCCTAGCTGTGCCGTTTTCCTGGAGTCCTTCAGACATGTGCCCAGCGTCGCAGCAGAGAAGAGTGCTGACTTGGGTAGAAGATCCCCCACCCCCAAGTAGAAGACCCTGCGGTGGGCAGGGATACTTAAACGTCTGTACCCTGCAAACCCCAGAACGGTCAAGACGACCGGGGTCAGTTTTTTAAAACTGATATTGTGCTTCTCTTTATTCCTTAAGATGATAAGGAACCCTTCTAAACATTGGCTAGCATATTTATGTTTATTTTGATATACAAGTAAAATAGAAAATCACTTCCCACAAGAGCAGAAGTACATATTTTCTACCCTCGATGTGCCCACACACACGCCCTCCCCTCACCCATTCCTCCACTCGTGTGTGTGTATATCATGCTCTCCTGTCTCCAGTCCCTGTTATCTCAGTTTCTCTTGGAATAAATGATTCTCTACTGAGAGTGAGAAAATGTTTTATTTTGGAAACTTTCTGGCTTACACTTAAACAGTATCCCGATTTGCTCATTTGACTAGGTTTTATGTTATTAAATTGCCCAAGAAATGGGACATTGAACCTTTACCATCCAGCACCCAATTTAAGCTGAACAAAAAATAACTACCCTTAGTAAGTAGGAGCAGATTTCTCCCAGAAGTCCCAGTTCTGCCTTTTTCTGAAGCAAAGGATTTTACTCCAAGGATTCAAGACTGAAAAGAGATGTCAGAATCCTTAAAAAGAAATAACAACTTTGTGATATTTGCCTGTTTTAATAACTTTATGAAGAATTCTTGCACTTCCAGCAGCCCTGGCATAACCTGCCACCACTTGGGCAAGACCCTACTTCTCTCAAAACCTCACTGAGCCTCTGGATACTGACTTTCTGGAACAGGGGAGTAAGTGCAGAGCCGGAGCACAGTGCGCCAGGCAGCATCGACTTGCTCGGGAAGCAGCGTCCTCGCAGCTCTGTGCAGACCAGCACTGACTCTGCAAGTTCACTCTCCCCTTCACGGGGCACTTCCTTTCCAAGCCTTTTCTGCAGGAACAGGTGACCGCGCGTCCTCGTTCTCACTGACGTGGCCTAGAAGGAAGGCTGCTGTGGCCTTTGTGTCCTTTGCTGATGAAAGGGGAGAGCCGCTCCAGGAATAATGTGGGGAACTGGCAGCAACCGTCCCAGGACCGTGAGGACCAGCGTTGGGACGAAACGTGAACGTGCGGAGACAAACAATAAAACCCCAGGTCCCTGGTGATGCTACTGAGCTACTCAGTGAACTCTAGACTGCCTCCTTGGACAAAGAATAAAATGTCTTCATTGCCTGTCACTGTTAGTTGGATTTCTGTCAGAACTGCAGTCACACAGTACTTGACGTGTCGTAGGTGCTCAGGTACCAACAGAACTCAGAACTTGCGTGCATAAAATTCTCATATCTTCTTTCTTCCCGAGGTCTTTAGGGAATGTTTCTCTTAAGTCCTGATTTTTTTTTTTAATTGTTTTTGTTCCTATCTTAGTTGCTTTCCATTTCATAAGTACTGACTGAGTTCATACTGAATGCCCTGTCCTGTGCTCAGTTCTATAGAAAACAAATGACTCCTGAATAGGAGAAGGCTTCGTAGAGGAGACAATGCCTGAACCTGAAAGGAGGGTGGAACATACTTGTGTGGAAAGGGGGAGGCATTTCGGGAGAGGGCGCCAGGAGGAAGAAGCCCATTCTGGGGACAGCAGAACATGTTCAGAGAGCCACACGGAGTTCCGTGTCACGAAAACCCAAGGGGTAGAGCAGGAGGGCAGGAGGTGCTGCTGGGGAGGAAGCCAGGGATGAGAAGTGAATTGAGAAAGTGCCAAAAGTTTCCTCTTATTTTCCTTTGGAACAGTGGCCAGAAGCCACTTAGTGCAATCAGAGAGTTCTTCAAGAAAAGTGGAGTGGTTTTCTCTTCAAGAATATTTAGTGCCAAAGCTCTACCGGCAGAAAAAGGCAGAACTATATTGAGAGGCATGTTGTTTATGCATTTGTATAATACTCCGTTTCTGGCTATTCTCTCTTTCACAGCTTTTAGAATATAGATGTAAGATCTTCATTGGTCTCTACTAGCTCTAACCTGTTGACAGTGCTGATGGACCTGGAGAGTACACGTGGGGACAACTTCACAGTGAAGGGCAGACCCTGGTGCGAGAATACGACATCAGGCATTTTATACCAGGAGAAGGAGAGGCCATATTTTCATAGGACACAAGGTCCATTGATGGAAGGTCAGTGTACCGAAGGCTTAAATAGCAGGAAGGAATAGTAGAAGAGCCTCCTGTTTACAGGGGTTCTGAAACCTTTCTTCTGAGAGACCCTTCATAGCAAGACCCTGTTTTTGTGAAAGGGTAGACTCAGGTGGCTTGCATTTGGCCCCTAGTAAAGGATAGGTTTCTTCCAACTGGGAAAAGCATACCCTATTGAGGAAGAGACTTGTAACTCTTTAGCAAGTTCCAGAATGTTCATAGGGACGTTAGACATAATCTATTTCAAGCCTCTCAGGAAGGAAACCGGAGACTGATGGCAAGGGACTGAAGGCACTTGGCAAATGTATGACCACGCTATGATCTGGACTCAGCAAGTCCAGCAATCCTGCTTTTACCCCATCTTACTTTGTTTCCCGAGGTGCTGGTTTGTTAGAGCACAAATAAAATAATGCCTGTGCCAAAACCCTTCTTTTCATCCCACGGTGAGCTAGCGTCTTCCTCATCAGCCTACACTCTTCCACCAGAACACTTCAAAGAAGAGATGCAGTGCAGAGGGCTAAAGGTCACATCCAGACAGACCTGGGTTCAAAGTGAATTCAGCCTTGGGACGCCTGGGTGGCTCAGTTGGTTAAGCGTCCGTCTTCGTCTCAGGTCATAGCGGCTCAGTTCATGATCTCACGGTTTGTGGGTTCGAGCCCCGCGTCGGGCTCTGTGCTGACGGCTAGCTCAGAGCCTGGAGCCTGTTTCAGATTCTGTGTCTCCCTCTCTCTCTGACCCTCCCCTGCTCATGTTGTCTCCCTCCTTCTCAGAAATAAATAAAACATTTAAAAAAAATTTTAAGTGAATTCAGCCTCATTATCTACTAGCTGTATAGCCTTAAGCAAATCCCTTAACTTCTCCGAGTCTGTTTCCGTGTCTGTGAAACGCGGGCAACAGTGCCTTTCTGAGGCCTGCCATTTGGTGGGCACTCAGTCAGTGAGCATGATCCCTAGGGTGGGACAGGTTGTTTCATCTTAGGGATTTCAAGTTGGCTTGGCGTGTTTTCTGCCACACTCCGAGTAGTCTATACCACTTAGCTGCTGCTGTACCATAAATGAGAGAATAAAAAAGGCCTGAGGCTAAAAACAGCACAGAAATGACTCAAAAGAAAGTTCTTTATTGATTGACTCAGCACTGCTCATCCCCCGTTTTATCCCCCCTCCTCCCATCCAGTTTCCTCTTCCAGAGCAAAGTCTTGCTGTCAGGCTAGGGCTCCCAGCCAGGCAGCATTAGTGGCCAGCTGTGGTTTCCTGAATCCAGGCCAGGATGGAGGGCACTTTCACGTACACACCATACTCGGCAACCCTACAGCTCTTATCAAAGCTCAGGATTCCAGCTGCGTACCAGGTGTCATCGTCCTGGTCGTGAATGGCAAAGGCACTGCCAGCATCACCGTAGCAAGTGTCTTCCTGAAACTCGGACAAGCCAGCACAGAAGGTGTGCTCATTCAGTATGGGCTGCACCCCTACAGGGCTCTTCGAGGACTTCTTTTCGGGCACTGTGCTGCCTTCGTAGTGCTTCACACAATTGTTTTGATCAGCCACAGGCAGCATGACATACTTCAGTAGCTCAGTGAAATTAAAGTTGGCATTTCGCCCCCAGCCAGACACGTAGCCCACACGCCCCACTTCTGCATAATCTTTTGAAGGTAGACAGATGGGCATTACTCTCTCATCAATGGGCACCTTTTCTTTGAGTTTGATGAGCCCGATGTCTACATTGGAGTAGTTAGGGTGGAGAACCACCTTCTCAATCTCCACAGGCTGATTTTTCCCCACATAGAGTTTTAAAGTTGGGGCAATGTCTTTTGCTTTTGCATCATCCTTATGGCCAAGGAAGAGATTTTTAGCCGTGGTCAGCAGCCATTGTTCACTAATCAGTGTGGCGCCCGAGGTGAGATTATGATGGGAGACCATCTTGGCCTGCCAGGGAAAGCTGCCTTTGGCGTCCACTGATCCACCTATGATCCGCTGCACCTGATCCACCGGGTTCTTGGGCTTTCCGCACACTATGAAGGAGAGTGGGAAAGTCGAGCAGAAATGTCAATCTCCCAGTGTGGGAAAGGGGCAAAACGTTGGCACTTGCTGCTGTCTAAACTGTCGTGTTAATTTCTGCACAGCTAGGAATATTTACACGCCTTCCCTTACCACCTGTTCCTCCCATTTCCATTGTTTACAGTTTAAAGTGGCTCTTTTTTATAAAGTTGTTTACATCACTAAGACACAGTTCTATTTCTTGCTTTTCTAACTCATGGAAAAAAAAAGTAATGCTGAGATTTTCAAACCCTAGGTGATGTATATTTAAACGATTTATCACAACAAAGACCTGTCCACAACTCCCGAAAATTCACCGTGAAGGTGAGAAGCTATAATTCATTCTGAATAAAGAGCCATCTGTTGCAGTGTTGGCTGGAACTCAGACTTTAGGTAGAAGGCAGGTTAGCAGATCTGCACCACTAATCGTAGAAGAGGGCAGTCAGAATCCTCCCGTCCCAGCAGGGAAAGGGGAGGAGCAGCAGCTCATTCTAAAAACAGGAAACAGAAGCCCTACCCCTTTCCCACGTGCTGCCTCCTACTTCCATGGGTTTAGTTTTGTTCTGTCTTCCCACGACTAATTCTTCCTGGAGCTGGCTGTACAATTGACCCTGGACTCCCTAGGCAGCCTCTCTGTACACACAGGGCCTTCTGACCCTCTGGGGGCAGTGTGGACAGTGAATTAGTCAATACCCTGAAGACCCAAATGAACAAGATCCTTAGTGCGCTTTTTTGGAGAGTCATCACCCAAATGCTCACTTATCGGCCTGACCATTTTAGGTTCTGCCAGGTCCCTCATCTTGGCCCTCAGATGCTCAGAGGAAACCACTCAGGAAGATTGTGCCTCTAGAAGACTTCGACCAAGATGCCTACCCACACACCAGACTCTCAACACCCACCCTTCTTCAGCTTCTGAAGGCCCCTGGCTTCCTACCTGCTTCACATTCGGGAAGTTTCTCTCCAATGGCCTTGTTGGTCCAGTGCTTCTCGCTGTTTAACATATACTCTCCTAAACCAAAAGAAAAGAAAGGAGTTAAAAAAAAAAAAAACAAAAACACTGAATCTGGACTCAGCATGAGGAGAAAAGGTGTTTAAAGAGAATCAGAGAGAGAAGGAAAGGACAGGGGAGGGGAGGAGGGAGGAATGCTGTATGAGAAGCCAAGTGGGCGGGGGTGGGGGTGGGGGGCAGCAGTGAAACCCAGAAGGACAGATTTGTTGTCATGGAGACATAGTACAGAGTAGGAACCAGGGTTCAAATTCTGTCTGTTCATCTTATAGGCTACCCAAACTTGAGCAAGTTATTGAGCCTCTCTGTGCCTCAGCTTCCTCATCAGCAAAACGAGAGTAACAGTATCTCTTCAGAGGATGTTGTGAGAACTAAGCAAACAGATGAACGTCAAGCACTTAGAATAGTGCTGGGAACACAGTACTCACTAGGTAAGGGCCACTCATCATCATCACCGGCACCACGCTTGGTTCCTTTATTACATCTCCTTTGGGAGATCTCCTTTACTACATCTCCTTTGGGAGATGTAGATCTCACCCTGAGATGGGTAGGCTACATGGCATCACCTCCCCTAACAAAGGAGAGAACTTGGAGCTAAAGTTAATTTGCTCAAAAGGCCACGGCTACTGGTAACAAAATTGCTATTAGAATCTACCTTTTCTGGTTCCAAGGAGAACATGTAAGCTTTCTGGCCCATCACCCCTCGCTTCCACTCATTGTGGAAAGGCCGGGAAGGAGGAGGGTGCAGGGACATTGTCCAGGTCTTACCATTTCCTTCGGTGCGCAGTTTATAGAAGGCCTTACACTGGTAGCGAACAAAGTGCTCCGCATAGCCATTCGCAATCTCTGGAGGTTTTGGGCAGCTGACCTCTGCAAAGAGAATGTAATAGGAAGAGAGGGTTCATGTCCAGAAACTCATCCAAGAGACCCATGAAAAGTTGAGAAGAAGCTGTTCTGCATATCACCTGCCCTCCACCTCAAAGGGAAGACAAAGGGAAGGCCATCTCCCCTTTTCTCTGGCTGGCTCCCCAGCGTTATTCACAGGACTGAAATACCAGAGACTAAGACGAGAAGAAGGAAGTGGCTCTTCCCAAAGAGAGAGTGCAGATCTGATAGGGTCAAAATGAGACCCAGCAGTGCTGGGGCATCCAGCTCCCACCTGAACCAAAGACCTACCTGTGTTATCCGTGGTCTCATTGCCAGCGTCCACTGCAGAAAGCTGCCCCCAGAGGAGAAGGGCGACGACAGCTCCCAGGGCTCTGCAGAGAGAAGACGAGGGGTGCTTGCTTCACACAGACACGCGTGCGCGCGCGCACACACACATACACACACACCCCTCCCATTAGCCAGCCGGAGAAGAGGCTACATGGAAGTGTCAGGACGAGAAGTTGCCTCCCACCACCACCCACATACACAGTCCACTGGGTTCCAGTGTGTTCTGTATTGCTGGGAATTCCACATAAGACCCAGAGAGGAACTACCAAGATTGGAAGGTACATAGACTTGCAGGCCTCAATTTCTGGCAGCATTTGGGAAACATTAAGTTGCTAATAATATATGAGCTCTCCTACAAAAAGAAGCCTCTGTCAGGTACCCCTAAGGCAGTACAGGATATTGGGCAATAAAATGTGGGTAACTTGAAGGTGGGAACGTAGGGATTTCTTATGCTATTCTCGACTTTTTAAATTTTTCCACAGTTAGAGGTTTTAAATATACAGAACTTAAAATGTTTCTATAGTTTCCCTGTTATTTTATAATTTGCCTTCAGGAAACAGCAAAATGCCAAAAGGTCGCCTGGAAGATAACAGGCTTCCAGAAAGCATGACCGCCAACACGGGCATCACTGCACAGGCCACACTTACCAGGTAATGGTTCCACTGACAGAAGCCAAATGCACAGAGATTGCTTAGTTATGTTAAGTTGGTAGTCTTGTTATTTCAGTGTTTAAAAAAAGTTTTTTTTCCTTTGATAAAATCTCAGTGCCTTAATTGGTCACTCAGATGTGTTACTATTGGTCTTACACAATTTTTAAAACAACAACAACAAAAAAAAAAGTCTGCTAATGAACACATTTTAGATACCAGAAAGCCTACTATGGGAGCCTCTGGCATCCCCTGTAAGGATGGAAATTTTGTAACCTCGAGGAAAACGATACCCTTTAGAGTAAGTCATGTTCTCATGGACGCAGAGAAGCAGAAGATTTAACACGCTAAACTGAACCCCTTAATTCACTGTAGTTTAGCCCAGTAGCCCTATTTCTTTGTTCTTGATTTCCATCTCTCCTTTGATTCCCCCCCTCCCATACCTGCACTATCTCGTGGTTAGATGTGCACAGAGAAAGATGGCATGAGCGAGGAAAGGGGAGAAGTGGCGGAACCATGGACTCACCTCATCTTTGGTTTGTCCTGCCAGATGGAAGAGCAGTGCTGTGGGGCCACCTGCTGTTGCTTTTATGTCTCCAGTATCTCACTCCACCCCCTTCTCGATTTTGTAATTGCTGTGTCCGCACAACTTTGGCCTTGTTAAGGTCACTGCATTTTCCGGTAACAGAGCCACAAACAATATCCCCGTTAAGATCTGGCTCTTGCTTCACGCTTGAGTTGCCCTGGTGTTTCTTTACAAACCCCAAAGAAGCCTGGCCACATCATGACCCCCTGGAGCTGCCAAAGTGCTTCCCGAAATCTGCCAATGCAGGAGTGGGGGAGGAAGCATCAATCTGTGTCTCTTTGTTTTGGAGAGTTTTCAGCACTGAAAAAAAAAAAAAAAAAAACCCTTCTTTGCATTATTTCAACCCCCTTGTAGATGTTCCTGCAACCTAGCTGAGACAGAGCTCTAAAGAAAGCATTTCCTTTTCACGGTCATCTTCCTCACCCTGTGTTGACATCTCCCTATTGCTTAAAACTTCTCCAACCTGAAATCAGTAAAATGTACTTATTGTGTCTTCTCTGATAGCTCTTCGCAAAAAATCACACAAAATGATTAAAGCTATACTGTAGGCTGATGCACACCATGCTCGATGGCAGCAGTTCTCACGATATTATAATCCAGTAATTCATGCAAATAGCAGGTGAGGAAAATCAATACGCTTCAATCAAATGTCTGTACCTCTGTATTCCAGGTCTGACTCAATTGAAATTTAGTAGCAACTCAGTAAAATACTGTTTTGTTCATTAAAAAACAAAAAACAAAAAAACAAAACAAAACAAAAAACCCACCCCAAAAAACAGGTCAGTGTTTCTTAAGTTAGAATGTACAAAAGAATCATTTTGAGATATTGGGGGTGGCACTGATGTAGCAGCAAGATAACTGGAAACCAGACACATGTCCATCAGGAGGGGAATGGGTACAAACAAGCAAAAAGCAGGATTAGACCTATAAATACTGAGAACAAAGTGATGGCTTCCAGAGGGAAGGGATTGAGAGGATGAACAAAATGCGTGACGGAGAGAGGGAGATACAGCTTCCGGTTATGGAAAGAATAGGTCATGGGAGTAAAAGGCACAGCATAGGGAATATAGTTAATGATATTGTAATAGTGTTAGAAGGTGACCAATGTTACGCTTCTGGTGAGCACAACATAACATATAGAGATGTTGACTCACTATGTTGTCCACCTGAAACTCATGTAACATTGTGTGTCAACTATACTCAGAATATTCCTATAAAGAAATATAGATCTTCCTCAGTTTGTCATGGGGCTGCAGCCTGATAAACCATCTTAAGTTGAAAATATTGTAAGTCAAAATTTTATTTAATACACCTGACATAGGTTTTAATACATTTTGACGTAGGTCAAAAATATCAAAATTTAGCCCGGCCCACCTTAAATGTGGTCAGAACAATCACACTGGCCTACAGTTGGGGAAAATCATCTCACTCGAAGTCTGCTTTATAATCAAGTGTTGAATATCTCATGTAACTTATTTAATACTGCACTGAAAATGAAAAACAAAATGGTTATGTGCGTAAAGAACAGTCATTAAGTGTATTGATCATTTACCTTCATGATCGTGTAGCTGACTGGAAACTGTCAAGCATCACAAGAGACTGTCGTCCTGAATATCACTCACATGGGCAAAGATCAGAATTCAAAATTCAAAGTACAGTTCCTACTGACTACATACTGCTTTCATACCATCATAAAGTCAAAACATCAGAAGTCAGTGGTGATGAGCTAAGTGAAGTAGGTGATGGGATTAAGAGATATTAACTTTCAGTTATAAATTAAGTCACCAGGATGTCATATAAAGCATAGGAAATATACTCAATAATATTGGAATAACTTTGGTGACAGATAATAACTATACTTACCATGATAAGCATTTCATACTATATACAAATGTTTAATCATTATGTATCTAAAACTAATAGAGTATTGTATGTCAACTATACTTTTAAAAAAAGGAGGAAAGAAAAAACTCATTAAGCCAAACCATCTTAAAAACAGGATGGCACTCCTAACTACCTAGGATGGCTACAATGAAATATATAGATATGTTGGGCACCTGGGTGGTTCAGTCAGTTGAGCATCCAACTCTTGACTTTGGCTCAGGTTATGATCTCAAGTTCGTGTGATCAAGCATCATGTCAGGCCCTGGGCTGATAGCACGGACCCTGCTTGGGATTCTCTCTCTGTCTCTGCCCCTTCCTTGCTCACATGTGTGCATGCTATCACTCTCAAAATAAACAATAACATATAATAAATATATATTAAAATATATATGTATTTATATGTATAAAATAAGTGTTGGCAAGGATGTGAGTCGGAACTGCCATGCACTGCTGTAGGGAATACAAAGTGGTGTAGTATCTGTGGAAAACACTATGACGGTTCCTCAAAAAGCTAAACATAGAATTGTCGTATGACCCAGCCCTTCTACTTCTAAGTCTATAGCCAAAGTAATTGAAAATAAGGACTCTAAAAGATTCTCGTACACCAGTGTTCATGACAGCGTTATTAACAATAGCCAGAAGACAGAAACAATCCAAGTGTTCTTCAACAAATGAATGGATAAACAAAACGTGGCATATACATACAATGGACTACTGTTCATCCATAAGAAGTTCTGGCACATGCTACGGCATGAATGAGCTTTGAGAATATTATGCTAAGTGAAAGAAGTCAGACCCAAAAAGACACATATTGTATGATTCTACTTCTATGAAATATCTAGAAAAGGCAAATTCATAGACACAAAGTAGATTAGAGGTTACCAGGGACTGAGGGAGGGGTCAGAGGAGTATTATTGCTTAATGGGTACAGAGTTTCTGTTTGCAGTGATGAAAACGTTTTGGAAATGGTAGTGATGGTTACACAACATTGCACATGTAATTAATGCCATTGAATTGTACGCTTTAGAACTGTTAAAACCAAGAAATTTATGTTATATATACTTTATCACAAAAACATCATTAGAAAAAAATTCTTTCTCTTGAGGCCAAAACATTTTTTTAAAAAGCAAGCAAAACTAAACAATGTTTTGTAGGCATAGATGCCAAGGAGACAAAAACTACATTTTTAAATATTTTAACAGAATGCAAAACACAAAACATAAAATGTTACCTCTCTAGGAAGGCAGGAGGAAGGCATAAGAGAGAATCACATAGGTAAATATAAATAAATTATTGTTAATGATCCAGTTTTGGGCTCTCTCCCTCTGCATGTCTCCCCCACTCACACTGTCTCTCTAAAAAATAAAATAGAATAGAGTAAGAATGAATACATAAATTATTTTTCAAAATGTACGTAAGTATCAAATAACATTTAAAAAATGAAGGAGGGTGGGGGAGAGTCACCTGACAGACACTAAGAGGCAAAGCCCAGGCCCCTCTTTCCAGAGATTTAATCCAGTAAATCTGAGAGGAAGCTGAGAATCTGGATTACAAATGTCCAGAACCTCTCCCACCCGGTATACCTGCTGCGGCAAGACTGCGCTGCTCTGTGACCCTGTGAAGCGGAGGAGGGGGAGCTTTTCTCTGGGGCCGCAATTGCCCCTCGTAGAATATCTAAAACGAGACATTTCTCACCACCACGGTAGAATCAATGCTTACCCCACTAGGTGCATGAAAATTTGCATTTGCCTTTGAACAAAATCTGAACTCTATCACACCTACCCCTTGTGTTGGGCAAGAAGGGAGAGTTCACAGCTTCTCTGCCTCAGGCATCCTTTATTAACCTGACAATAAAGAATATCCAACCCAAAGGCCCTTCTGACTTGGAATTAGGGATGGGACAAAATGAGGAGTTGGCCGCTGAGAAGCCTCAGAGTAGCCAGCCACCGGAAGTAGTGAACACATTTTGTGGTGAGAACAGAAAGCAGAAAAGCTTAAAAGATTGATAAAGCAGGACAGCAGTTGACAGAGAAACTTGAAAGGTAGAGTTTTGATTTTGGAAGGAAAAAAATATTTTTTTAAAAGTCTGTTCTGCCATTATTGAAGTCTTGAAATTTTGCAAGCTACAGAAAAATAAAAATAGGAAAAACTCTTCCCATTATTTTGCCAACCCCAAGACAACCGATAACATTATTAACATTTTAGTGTCACTTTCTTCCAAGCTTTTCTCTGTACATTCTTGTAAGTAGTTTTGATAATTCCTTATACAGAATTTTTGTGGTCTGCCTTTTTTACCCAATGTTATAGGCATTTTCCATGTTATAGCAAGCTCTTGAAAACACTTTTAAAGCCACATCATAGTCATAACTTAAAGACATGTCATATATACTTTAAATATTCCCTCATTGTTGAGATTTTATGATTCTAAATTGTCTGTTATAAATATCTTCCATAAATTCAGGGAAGTGAGGTAGGACACCAGGCTAATTTTATTCCATATGAATATACAAGTGATCCAGCATCATTTACTAAACACATCAAATCTTAGACACACACCAAATCTTAAAATATCAGATCAAGATAAAAAATATTTCTAGCACCCAGAAGACTATTTTAAGTTCTTTGCAATAAACACCCACCCTCAAAAGGTAACTACTATGCTGACTTCTGTCATGATAGAATAGTTTTGACTGATCTTGAACTTCATATAAATAGAATCAAATAGTAGTCACTTGTTCCTGGCTTCTTTTGCCCATCATTACATTTGTAAGAATCATCCATATTGTCATGTTAGTTTGCTTCCTTTTTATTCCTGAGAAGTATTCCACTGTATGAATAAACCACAGTTGATTTATCCATTTTCTGTTTATGGATGTTTGAATTTATTGCAGTTTGGACTATTATAAATAAAGCTACTATGAACTTTCTTGCACATGTCTTTCGATGGATACATGCACTCATTTTCTTGAATAAATATCTTGAATAAATTATTGTTAAGCAATAATACTCCTCTGACCCCTCCCTCAGTCCCTGGTAACCTCTAATCTACTTTGTGTCTATGAATTTGCCTTTTCTAGATATTTCATA